TTTGTACCTGTATCGTCCCCACGGTGTGATGAAGGTTGTTATGTGTCTGTCTTCTTCTCGGATTGGCACCGAGTGGTAGCCATTCCAAGCATCAGTTACTATTTTCTTTGTATTCTGCGGTATCCTGTCTGCCAGGTGGAATGGGCTTGATACATGATGAGTTTGCTTACAGACTGGCGGTTTTGCGGTTGTAAGTCCACAGTGCGCCTTGGGGTGCCGTCGGCCTTGGCAGTAACGACCATTCGGGAACATCAGGTGACCAGTGTGTTTGGGCTGACTTTTTCCAAGACACCAATTTGCACGACTCTGTCTAAGTCTTCAATACCTGTTCATGCCAGTGAATGAGTACTAGAGCAGGTTTGTGGACTGCCACTGGCTTTGCATCTGAGTTGACATGTAGCTGGAGTGGCTCACATTTCATCATGGGGAAGGGTTGGTGCTCACAGATGTTGAATGCAGTGCCGCCATAGTAGTCCAGGAGCCACTGTTTCAGTGTCGGTATGTTGCCATCTGTGGCTGACAGTCCAGGTGGCAGGCTTGTAGGTATGGGAGGTGGCTCTTGGCCACACGTAGGGCATGAGCTTGTTGATGGTGCAGGGGTTTCGATGGAGGCTGTGAAATCTTGTGGCCAGGAAGTTGGGACACTTGGGAAGTTGGCAGGAATGGCTCCGAGTGTGACGAGGGCTTCCCTGCACAAGAAGGCCTTTTCCATGATTGCCGAGACGTATATCGTGATTTTGGTTGATCTGGTGGCGCCAGAAGTGTCTGATCATGTGCTGACAGTTGCGATTATACCGCCTTCGACCCCGGGATCTTCCTTGATGTCACCACACATTGTCAGTTTGACGGGTATTAAGTCAGTGTGGCTGATACCCATGGCGAGAGCTGATTGTAGTGGAAAATTAGAGCTCTGGCAGCCAGAGTCAGCGACCATAGGTAATGTGATTGAGGAAAGCTTGGATTTGTTTTTCATTGGGAAACCCAATTCGGCATGGTCCTCAGGTAGGGGCGTTAGCTGAACAGTCATGAATGGGTGGGGCTTGGAAGGGCGGGACATCCACGCTCCATCGTATATGTGGTGCTCCAGAGGTTGCATGCCATTTGCACAGGGTGTCTTGCTGTGAGTGTGACTCACACACAGCTGGTCGTAAATGCGGCCAATGTCACTGTCGTGTGCCTGTGAATGCGGGTTGTCTTCTGTTTGCATCATTCGACTGCTTGGATTTGGCCTGTTGCTTTGACCACAGAATTTCGAGGTCTTGTCGCGATGTCCCCATTTCCCACAGGAGGTGCATCTGGAGCATGAT